CATCCAAGAAGCTTCTTCAGATGGGTTGATCAACTTGAGTTTCAAACATGTAACTAATAGTCAAATGCAGCACAATAGGTCACATAAAGTTAGGATAGGCAATGGTAGCCTTATTTTTATGGCACTCTACAAGTTGAGGCTCCAGAATATAACAGAGTTTGACAAACTCAACCACTTTGAAGATGTCACTTAGTAGAAAAGTCATCATCCTATTTCTAAATAGATTTCTGTTAACTGCTTTAAAACTAGTTATAGAGGAATAAAATATTGAGGTGGCTATTCTTCAGAATTCATTCTTCGTCCATTTTCCCATTTGCCTCACTTTTTCCAATATCGTTATAGTATTTCTTTTAATGTTATTCATCAAAGCTTCCATTCCTTGTCAGCTATAAATATTGATTCTGGGATTTATTTATGGAAGAATATGAAAAATAGGTATAACCCTTGCTTCAATTATCTAAGTTATTAAAAGTGTAGATTCTTGGGTGTTCCTGAAGTTGGATGTCAATTTTGTTCATTTTATCTGCTTTACATCTACCCAAGTATTTGCATTTTTATAAATGGATACATGCATTGTAGAACACTATTGACTATTAAATCATGACTGGAATAATATTTTGAGAAAAGGTAAACTGTTTATTCAACAGGATGAGTCTGTACCCAACCAGTGGTTTGATCTACATGGCATTATAGCATACATAACATAGGATCCAATCAGATACTCTAACTGAATGGATGTTTTTTTTAAATCATACATTACAGAGACAATATTCATAGGAGGGACAACAATCATTATATAGGGCAGCCAACCAGTAATTTCCTAGAGTTTTCTGGCAACAACAAGAAGCAGCCACTCAGAAGCAAACTGGATTCAGGAGGCCTATCGCCATACTATGAAAAATGCAGCACTGATAATATAGTCCAAAATATCAGATTTTCCAAAAAAATGGGGAATTGTTTAGTCTAAAAAAAAGAAAAGTGCACAGTCCTTATATTATTAAAGAATCTTTAACATTTACATAGTTTGCTTATGACAGTTTCTGTACAACAAAAATATAAGGGCAGGTGGAATTGCTTCTAAGTCAGCACCATAACATATTTCACTTGGCTGAACAAAAAGAGTGCCTTCACAAGTTACAAGATAAGAGAACAGGCTAGGAGAAGAAATAAGTCATTTCCCTCATTGTGAGCTAAAGTAGCTCCAATTAAGCATGGCATACATTTATGGGAAGAGTCAGTTACTTTGCCTTGGTGGACAGCATCAAGTCCATCATCCTAGTTCCTACATAAAAATGTGTGGTCTTGCATTTTCTTCATACAATTTCTATAAAGTATACAAATCCCATCCTCTTTTCCTTGGAATGGGACAACTCTCCACAGCCAATTCGCTGTGGGACAACTTGCCATGGTGAACTCGCCATGGAACAAGTTGCCATGGCCAACTTGCTATGGGGCAGCTTGCCACGGGACAATTTAACAATTCAATTTAATTATTTAAAATTATTTAAAAACCATTTTAACTTTTAAAAAATTCATTTTGTCCCACCTTTTGCATCCTTTCTTTAATTATTCTATTCCATTTCTTTGATATTAGTTTAACTCTTGTCCCACAGTGAGTTATCCTGTGGTAAGTTGGCCATGGGAAGTTGGCTGCAGGGAATTATCATAGACCCTCTTTTCCTAGCTTCCTATATAATGTCTGGGTTTGGTTAAATGTCAGCCAACAGGAATATTCTCATTATTTATCACTAAGGACAGAGATAGCCTCATTTTTAAAATACAAGGATATTCTCAACAGAAATAGCATCTTTATTTAGCATTCTCATCAAATAGCACTGGGGGGACTGTATAATTGGTCAGTAAAAGAAACTTTGTTTTCCCCATTAAAAGTGAGTTAATATGTGTTCTACCTCCCCTTTTCTCTTACACACATACGTACTGACACATTTTCTTCCCATTTGTACTTGTATGCATCTTACATTCTCCCATGAAATCTTTGCTGGGTTAGGTCAAACCATGTCCAAATGTGTCTGAAAACATAGAGATGAATCTATCAAGAATTTCCCTTGTGCATGACAATCAGGAAATGGCACTTCTGCAGAACAAAATATGTTTAAAAGAGAAATTGTTGCTAGCTTATGCAACAACAATTTCCTATCAGGAAGTGTGGTTACTTCATCAGATTTACTCAAAGTCTTGTTATTTAAAACTACAAAGAATTGGACAAAGGACTTTTTCACAATTCCTAATAGTCAACATCAATTTGACAAGACGGAATATTTTTTTCCTTAAAAATTAAAGACAATCCTTGTTCTTATAAGAAAATGGAAGAAACTGTACAAGAGATATTTTGATATGTCCATCTCCCAAGCACATTTAATCCAAAGATTTGTTCTGGTGCTCAAAAGGCACTTAAAGAGTTTAAAAAAAACAACCACTAACAACCAATAAAAAATAGAACAAAAATAATTTAATAAAAGGTATAATGTATCCTATTTTTAAGGAGAAAAGTAAACCTTCAGATAATTCTTCGGCTCCCAACATTTTCAAAAATATGTGTAACGCACACAAATGTAACCAAAGCATCTCTTCTCCATAAAGTAAAGTAAGAAAAAAAATATCACTGGCAATGAAAATAGAACAGTTTGCCAAATGGCTCTCTCTTCACTATCTGTCCCGCTTTGCAATATCCAACCTATGCAAAAACTACATTTATTGGTTCATTACTACCACAAATGGAATATTTGTTGTCATAATGAACTAGGGCAGAGGCCCCCAAACTTTTGGGCACCAGGGACCAGTTCCGTGGAGAGAGGTTTTTCTGCGGACCAAAGGGGGTGTGGGTTCGTGTGCTATCCGCATTCCGCAGATGGGGCTTTGCTTGTTTGCATGGCCCATTTTCTGGCATGCCACGGACCAGTGCTGATCCACAGACTGGGGTTGGGGGCTCCTGAACTAGGGGTTGTTCATATGCTAAGGAAGGCTCAGGGACATGTAGGTAATTTGGGAGGGGGAATTAAAAGAATTTCATAAATGAAAAACTAGCACGGTTAACTAATCATGGCATTAAAAATGCCTACTACATTAGCAGACATATAGATAAACACCATTTATCATTATAATATTATATTGAGGAACAATATTAGAATAACTACATACATTCCTTTCACACTATATATCAGAAGGTCAAAATTCCTTCAGTATTGGAGGTTGTTCTCATTTTTACTGATGCATTTCTAATATACTGAATTATCTATTAAGTGCAAGGATCTGGAGTCACAGGGCCGCAATTAAAATTTAGCATGAAGAAGAAACATTACAGTTAAGCAGATATTTTTCATACTGGAAGCAAGTACAGCAATATATAAACAGGCTAGAACAGGCAAGGGGCAGATTCATGAAATGAAGTGTGTTCACAGATGAGATACAGAAAATGAGATTCATACAATGTCATGTATGTTCACATCATAGAGGAAAAGGTTATTTCATAAAATATGTCTCTCTCTTCTATGCAATTTCTGAAAACAGATGGTATTAGGAATCAGGGGATAAATATGAATATATTTTCCTCCTTTGGCAAAATGGATTGCAATGCTTATAAATTAAATTTTCGCTGAAAGCGTACTAGGAGTTTAAAGTACAGCAAGGCAAAGGCCACTAATTACCTAGAAGTCACTAAAATTGACCTCTAATGAGAAATGGATAACATTTACTTTCCTTCCAAGAGTGGCCCATTGCAAAATAAATTCAAGAGATATCAAGCAGTGGAACATGCAGATTTAACCAAGTGTGCAGTTTCAGTAAGATTTATCAATGTTAAAAATGAAAGTGTACTGATTGAAAGTAAATAAAACTATCCTAGTTGAAGGGCTGGTATTAGAGACATCTGGTCATAAATGCTGATTTTTTTTAAAAAAAGCAGCAAGTAGAGTCTTGAGTTCATTAAAAAGAAAAGAAAAAAGGCAAGCATGCAAATTGCTAGAATCCTTGGTTGTTGATTTTTTGTCTTGCTTTCTTTTTTGCCTATATTAAAGTATAGAGACCAATTTTATTTCTGTAAGCCCCAAATCACTGTATATTGTTACATAGTACAGTAGAGAAAGTGCAAATTGTCATCTCGTCAGTTCAGATATATGCCCAGCTCAATCAAGTATGAATCATGCTGTTCATGCAAGGGGGTGTGGCCCAAAAAACCCTTTATATACTGCCAAGGAACTTTAAAGAAATATAATTTCATTAAAACCCTTCTTGCCTGTTTTAATCCAGATTAAAACAGATTTTTCCCCAGAGGAATCATTAGCAAAAGGGAGATGAGAGAATAAAATATTTCAACCATTATATAAGGTAGCCTATTTATTTATTGTTATCAACCAAAAGTTACTTCAAAGTCCTCTTCTGTTTTGAAAACAGTGGGAGTTGTGTTTCTTTTGTACACATGTAATACTGTGCTACAACATGAAGTACATACAAAACATCCTAGACTTCCCTTTTATATACGGGGAAGATTGTACCACTTTTTACTGTTTGCATCCATATCTGGAGTACTTCTTCAACCAGAAAATGACAATTTTCCATATTCCAATGAAGCAGTCCTTAAGAGATGAAGACAAAAATCCACCCATCTGTGAGAACCGAATTGATCATCATCACCAAACGAATTCAGTATTTCCAGGACAACTAGTGTTTCTTTTCATTTGTAACTCTAAAGCCTGATTGCACTGATATGAAAATTCAGTTCACAAACTGATTAATTGTCTATTGCTTGATGTATAGTTGCTGTGTAATTCACACACACAGGCAAAAACACACTCTAGCAGATACCTAAGGGTGAGGTAAGTCATTAAATTGTTACTGGGCTACATAAAGTTTCATATATATTTCTAGACAGACTTGAATATTCCAGTGGTAATTACATAAGATGACAATGGGTAGTACCAAATATTTTCAGCAATGTTGTTATCTATGCAAATCCTTAAACCACTTCTACAATCCCAAATATCTTTTTTTTTTTTTTACAAGAGTCACGTTTTCCCTGTCTTTTCTTCTAAGGATACCATTTGTACAATCATACTGCTTCCTTCTCAAAAGAAATGAAGATCAGAATGACCCATCATTTTCCAAGGAATTCTCCTTTGTGACAGAGATAGCTACATTGTGCCAGATTTATCTGAAGAAGTGTTAGGGAAGAGCTTTTCTGTGGGTGTCACCGCAGGACTCCCCATTCCTGAGCTGCTACTGCTACTTGATCGATGTTGGACAACAGGTCTGATGGGACGCATTGGTGGGGGCCTCAGCTGAGCTCCTGCAAGCCGGGCTGAGAGAGCAGGTTTAAATGTCGTCATCATTTCAGTGGTTGAGCTGCTGCTCCGCCTCATAGCTGCATCAGGGTCTCTGATCATGATAGTATGTAGGGGACTGGCAGGTTCAGAACTGACCGAACCAATTTGTGGGTTCTTCATTGGTTCAAGAGTGTCCAGGACAACATCGGGGGCTTGTTTCACAGTATTTTGCCTTTCCAGCTCACGCAGCTCATTCAGGGCTGTGCTCATGGTTTTTTCAATGTCCTGTAAACACAGAAATACAAACAGAATGTGACCATTCCTTGAATCAGATGATGATCTAGTTGTCAGCATTCCAGCCAACCTCCACTCCAACCAATAACTCCGAGAGAGACATTGCTCAAAAGTTCTCTTTTATTTGGATAGTAACTAGCACTAACTGGGGGAATTCCAAATCTGAAAATTCCAGGCTTCCTTGCAATAATCAAAACTACAAATCCAACCCCCTACACCCATCATCACATCATATGCCCCAATCATCATCCGTTCCAACTGAAGACTTCCTCTCACATATGTGGACAATAGCATGACCTTGAACTCCAAAAAGAATGTTATTTTGTCTAACTACATATACCCCAAGAACTTCCACCCTCCCACTTTCCCAGGCTTAAAATGTGGCAGCTTGGGAGCATCTGGTTTCAATATGGCTTCCAATGCTGACACTAGTTTCCTTTCTTATTTACTTTGGGCAGAAGGTTTGATAGAGATAACCATGAATAAGAACGATGACTCAGGAAAGAATTTCTTGGGACTGATGACAGTAATCAAGTCTCTGCTTGCCCATGAATTAAAGCATATAAATTCCATACTCATACAATGGTCTAGTGCACAGGTGTCAAACTTGCCGTGTCTCATAGTCATCACGTGATGTTTCGCAATGTTTTTTGTGCCCTGTGTGTGACACATCTGGCCCACGGGCCACCAGTTTGACACCCCAGTCTAGTGCACCCTCCTTTAGGCTGGTTCTCCAGCTATGAATTGTAAGAGCTGAAGCCCAAGAGACTTGAAGCGCAAAGGTTGGAAAGAGTTCCCTACACTGTGGCACACTGAGAATGTGAAAAGTTATTTTTGGATCCCATTCTGTAGGTAACTCACAAAATTTCTAAATAAAAATATGACATTTTAGATATAATCCAATTTAAAAAGAACACAGTAGAATTGATAAACAAGTAGATGCAATATCAAGCGAACGTGGTTAACATACCTGGAGGTTGCATTTCTGATTTCAAATGGATGTGAACTCTTTCAACTATAACTTAATTTCCACAATGCAATTCCACTTCTTTCAGTTTTGGTATGGCAAAATATCAGATCAGCCATTCTGTTTAAGACTGAGATGGTACTGCCACCTTTCTTATCTAATTAATATTTGGTGTCTCCTGATGGATCCTCTTTGGGTGGAAGGCATTTAGCTTGCTATGCATTTGCATCTTAGATGAAGCTATCTCTTCTATTTATTTATTATTTTATCAAATTTATATAGCCACCCATGTCACACAAGGTGACTCTCTGGATGGCATGCAATAAAACCCACAATTAGAGCAGAATATACAAATGAATTAAAGCAATTACATAATTAACATAAATAAAAAGAAGGTTGTGAGAGGGCAGATACAGATAACATCTGGCTATCTTCTACCAGGAAACCCCCAGGTTACTCATTCTGAGGGTTTTCCAGAAGACATATTGGTTGGCCTGATCTCATCTTGGGGAGGGAGGTATGTTCCAGAAGGCAGGTACTACAGCAGTACTACTCCTGGGTCCTGCCAGATGGAACTTCTGAGCAGACAGGCCTGCAACATGCCTCTCCCGGTAGAAGTACCAGGTAGAAGTAATTGGGGAGAGGTGTTCCCTGCCACTGGAGTCTAATAACTGCCAGTAAGAGGGGAAGAGGACAGGGGAGTGAAACACTGACAAAAGAAATGAGAGTGAGGAAGACATCAATAAATGAACAAGATAAAAACATGACAAATCTTTGCCAGGGTACCAGCTACGCTCCCTTTCTGAAGCATATGGCTATGGCTACAGCAATCTATGCATTAATCACATCCTATTTCAACGTCTACAAGGCACAGTAATTGGTTGCTGCCCTTGAAGAATCATAGGGGCTGCCCTTGTAGAGTGTCCAAAAACCACAGCTGGTACAAATTATTGGGAGCCAGATTGTTTTCATGTGTACATTTTATGAGCCATAGTACACCAATTTTAAATCAACTGCACTGGTGTCTAATTAGTTTCATTTATGAGTGATTTCCCCTTCCCGGTGCCTGCTGTGCTGCTTCATCATGGGAGGGGGCAGCTGTTCCTGAGAGGGATGAGTGAAGAATGCAGAGAGTGAATGCCCAGAGTGTAAATTCCCAGCAGGGTTGCCCATGGCATGAAGGTCATCCCAGCTGCCCAGTTAAAGCAAGCAGGAACCTCTATTGGGCAGTTGTAATATAGAAAGATGTCAGAGGCAGATGATCACTTCAGTGACAATGGCAAAGGCATCAATCCCCACTGCGCAGGAGAAGATAATGGGAAACCACTCCTGTAGTTTTACCAAGACAACCACATGGATAGAAAATATAAAATTACTGACAATATACTGCCAGATGATGCTACTGAGGAAAAAGATATTTCAGAGTACTAATGGTATTTAGGACATGGCAATGGCAAATCATTCTAAAAAAGCTTGGGAATTAAACTGCAGGGTTTTCTGTCCAGGCAGTCCCCAGGAGTCAAAACTGACTTGAAGATACAACAACAACAAATATTAATGTAGAAATAGGGATGAGTAGAATAGCATGGTCTGTGTTCCCAATAGGGTGATTTGTCAGACCACAACAGGAATACTATAATCTACTGTACATCCTATTCTAGAAATGAATAAAATACCCTTGATTCCAAAGAATACCAGAATTTCATGCAAATGAATCAATGGATGTTTTGCTGGCAACTAGGAAAAAATATTACTTTGTCATGCCTGCAATATCTTAGCTGCCATTTTGTAGACCACAAATCGAATAGATAGATGGATGGATACGATAGATAGATATGATAGATAGATATGATAGATAGATAGATAGATAGATAGATAGATAGATAGATAGATAGATAGATAGATAGATAGATAGATAGATAGATAGATGATAGATAGACAGACACAGATGATAGATATAATATATATATTTATATTTAAAGAAATATTTTGTGTGTGTGTGTGTGTTTTCCAAGCTTTTAGAAAACAATATATTTAACTATATACAGTATATATCTTATTAAAAAGAGAGACTTAGCTTTGACAGATGAACTTTGACAGCAATTGATGAATAATGGATTGCATCACTTTCAGCAGATAAAACCAACTTATAGTGCCTCTTTAAAAAAGTCAGACTTGAATTGTGAATAACACTGTTTGCTAAGAAAACTCCACTGTGCATAGATATATTGATGGCAATAGCTTTTTGTTATGTGATTCTTTTGTCTGTCCTCATTCTTCTGATATTTCGTTTCAGTGTGTGATGCCTAAATTGTAACATTGTGAATTTGTCCCACCTCTATTTGTTTTTGTACATCCTGATTCCTCTTATCTACCTTCAATTTATTCGAAAGAGACCTAAACATTTTACTTTTGCTTGTAAGAGACTTTTTTTAACCCTACTAATTATTCTGGCTAGACTTTATAATTAAAATACTGAAGTGATAGATTGCTTCTACCTTTTACGATCAATAATAAAGGAACAAGCAGTCAAGAAATATGCCATAGACTAGCATTTGTTAGAACAACAATGAAGAGCTTGGAAAAAACATTAAGATGCCATGATGGATTTATATCTAATAAAGACTGGGATAGTGCAAGTCATTGTATTCCCTGTGGCACTCTAGAGAAGTGAAAAGTGGACTTTGAAGAAGCAGGATAAGGGAGAATATTGATATGTTTTCAGGGGATGCCCTGGGAGATTATGGCCTTAAGGACGCCCAATTTAGGGTAGTGGATGATTTAAGAGGCTCCCAATTAATGGCTTGCGGACATTGGACTTGCAATATCTACGAGCCAGAGTTAACAAAACTTGCTCCCCTCTGATCTTCAGCCGATTTAACAATTACGGACTGAGGATGGCTTCCTATTTTTACACTCTAACCATTCCCAAGTATAGAAGAGTTTTCTCCCTAGCTCGCTTTAATGTCTTGCCCTCAGCACTACTGGATGGATGATTTAAGAGGCTCCCAATTAATGAGCAGCTATACGCCTGTGACAGAGCTGAGGTTGAAACTGTGGAGCATGTCCTTTTATATTGTCCTATGTATAACGCAGGCAGATCTAAGTTACTGTCTCTCCTTGAAACAGACCCTTCTAGACCCAATGTTAGTAATTTGTTTTTTATATTGTCTAGGGGATGGCTCCTCATATACATCACTTCTCAGGTTTCCAAATTTTTTTAAAGAGCTGTAACCATCAGAGGAGAACGCTGTAATTCCCCTTAGTCAAGTTTTTGGTGACCAATTGTTCATGACTAATTTTCCCATGTTCTTCTTTTGTTGTACTTGTGTTTTGGTCTGTGACTGCAAATAAAGGATGATGATGATGATGATGATGATGATGATGATGATGATGATGATGA